CCAAGAGAAGTTTCTTTAGTAGCCTGACAGACATTGGTTTATGTCTCTCTTTAATTTACCTGTTAGCCCAACACATGGTCTATATAAGTATGGATATTTTTGCAGGTTTTTTTACTAATGTATTAACAATGCTACAAACTCCACAGGGTGTAAATTTATATACTATCTGTATGACTTATCCTTGTCTAGACAGTAAAAATCTGCCCTGATATTAATACACATTATTATTATCTGCCCTGATATTAATGCAGAGAGCTACAAATGTATTGGTGCAATACAATTTTTATGTAGGGCAAAGATCTTAAAAGACTTCAGAATATCTATGAGGTACTGGATTCAGAGGGCACATCTATGGGAAGGTGTAGAACAAGGATGCCTTAGCCTGGGAGCAACATCACATGAATGCAAGAGCTCAGGATAAGTGGCTGGTTCAGGCTGACTCACCCTGACAGTCGCCACTTTAGCTCTGCTCTGGCTGCACAAACTTGAGCAGACTTGCTCATGGACAGAGCTCCCAGCTGCAGTCACATGAGGCAGCGTGGCTGGGCCATTCCCACTTGCTGTGCATAGCACGGAGCCAGAGCTTTTCCCCCTAAACCCCTGCCTGGCATAACAACAAATGGCATTCCCTTCTTCTAATAATCCTGGACAAAGACTGGTTTTTAAAAGCTGAAACAAAGGGAGACAGGAGAGCTAGCACATTATCATAAACCCCACAGATCATGTGAAACACCGAGTGGAAGAAAATTCTTTTGAGCTTGCATTTTCAGAATAGCAGGAGGGATTTTCTTTTATGGGAATTTGCTGTTTTCCACAGTCAAATTAGTCTGTCTTGCTGAGAAACGTGCAAAAGAGGAATTTTGAAGCAAGGAAGCACCACTCATGCCTGAATCAGGAAACTGCCTAGCAATATCTAAAACAGGAAAGAGCTAAAAGAGAAGAAAGGTGGCCAGCAAAGTCATACTCTAAATTTGAACAGATAAAACAAGCAGTTAGACTATTTTGTGTTTACAGTGCCTCTTAAAAGGTTATCAGGAAGACTGAAAAAAACCTTTCAGCTTTCAAAGATGTTTTAACTCATCACAAAAACTGAAACAGTTAAGTCTATCACATTTCTCTCTTTTCTGCCCTCAGGTTTTTTGGCAATATGTGCTGAAGCATTTGAATTAAGCCAAGAACTTGTGTTACTTGAAGCTTCATCTGTTTCTGCTGTTTTTTTCTCTTACTTGCAATCAATCACTTGCTCAGGACAAACTATGAACAGAAGATCTGTGTTAAGGAAGGAAGGAACGAATAAAAAGGCATAGATTAAATTCTGAACTAGTCCTACTCTGAGACCAATTTCTGAACATAATTCTTGAATAATCTTTAAAAGAGAGAGATGGTAAGAAACCAAAAGATCCTACCTCATGCAGAGACAGCTTAGTTCAACCAGTGACCCAGCAGAGTTCACTGACACTTCTGTAAATTATTCATTAGTTCACACCACAAAACCCAACCTCTGAGAGAATCGATTTCCCACCCCACCCACTAAAAGGGACACAAAGTGATGACTTGCAAAGACAGTATCTACCTGACACCTCTCTTCTTCCCCCCACCCTCCCTGGCTGCTGATCCGGGAATGTAAGACATGAAGGAAACTATGCCAGAAAAACAGGAAAGACAAGAAGATGTGCTTGAAAAGTCAGAATTTTTAAAGATTTGGTAGAAAAAGTATTTGGCCCTGGTCATCTTCATGAGGGAGAATTTGAGTAAGAATTTAAGTTGATGAATGTAATAAAAACCTATTTTCTACGAAGGAAACAACATACAGAATTGCAAGCTGTCTTTATAATAAATTCAAAAGGAGAAAGTTTGCCTGCTATCAAAATCAATTCACAACTTACAAAGCACCTTTTTTTGTTGAATGGATTTGTGTACATTTCCGATACAGGGTGTCTCCTTTACCCTTTTAATACCACACTCTTTAAAGTATATTGAATAAACATCTCTGCCTGGAAATAAACCAAACCACAACTAGTGCATAAGTTCATTTATAACTTCACATATGACAAGCTACAAATAACAAAATTCAGTGGAAATATGATGCTAAGTCTGATAACTATCTTGGAAGAAGTTTTTTTCATCTCAGTTTCGGAAGTATATGCTTTCACTGCAGAAACACAAGGCTTTATCTAAATGATTCCTGATAACAGAATGTATTTGCTGCTAAAGGACTTAATACTTGTTCTTGTTTTCTTAAATTAAGATATATTATATATATATAAATGTGTATCACTAATTATCTAATCAACATAATGCTAACCACAAAATAATTAAATTAAGAGTAGAAAGCCATATGAGCTGAGCCACAGATACAGTAGAAACCACATTTGATAACCATTATCTGTCTCCTGTCCCTGAAAAAGAGTTTTGAAGTGCAGCACAGACACACCTACTCAGTGCTGACAGAAGGGAATACCAGGGGCTGCTGCTCTTACTGGTGCTGTCACCATCAGCACAACCCACTCCTCGTTGCTGCTATTTGTCTCTATCACTCTCGAGGATCAAGCCTGTGACAATGAGCAAGAACAAGTGGAATGGCACAGCACAGATTTTGGACTTTCTTCTGAAGCTGGCAGTCCTGATGGGAAACCTGTGGCACTGCACTGTGCTCTATCCTGAGCTGTGGGATACAGCCACAGGGCTGGGCACACCCCAGCATCACACGGTCACACAGTGGCACAGCACCAGCTGTACTTTCTAACCTGAACCTCCCTTAGCATTTTAAGGTCATTTCCTCTCATCCTTTCACTTGAGACACAGCAGAAGAAGCCAACACCTTCCTTTCATTTGGTTCAATTTAGTTTCACTTTGCTTTGCCACATTTAAGGCCTTTCCTCATTAGCAGAACACCATAATGCTGCAGGGACATCTCCTCATATAAACTTGTTTTGTGTTAGGGGAGAGTTAATTCTACCCTTGATCCTACATGTCTGAACTAAATCTGTGTGAAGAGCATATCTCAACACTGCCTGGTTCAGCTCAGAATACTGGCTAACATGAAAAGCTGAAACAACTTTGCATGCATGTACCTTGAAAAGCATGGAAGATTATATCTGAATATGCTCGAGGTTTCTCTAATTCAAAGGCCTCAGTGTGCTCTAGTCATTTCTTTCTACTGCTGTTGCAGTGGGTAACGGTGTTTCTAGTGATAACAGGGGGGTTGCCTTTGGTTTTCTTGTATTTTGAGAGGGGGGAGATTTAATAGCAATGGATGCTGGAAAAATGTCATCATCCACTTACTAAAGTGACAATAATTCCTCATTCATGTATTTTCAAATATTAATGGGGTGAACAAAAATAATGAGATTACACTGGAGGTGAAGTGAACTCTATAAAACTTTCTTTGAGTATTTTAATTTCCTGCCATTTCTCCTCAGCTGTGGACCAGAGGATTGACATTTTCTGAAACAAAATGGTTGGATGCTGCCCCCTTGTGAGAGCTCCAAAGCCTAAACCACAACTGCCTAAAACCTTTTTTTTTTTTTTTTCCTGTAGAAAAAGCATGTGATTCTCTTGCCCCAAACTCTGCTTTTGGCTCTGGTGGCACTTAACACATTTGACCCCCTACCTATGGCAGCAGGCAGGGCAAGTACTGAGCTTCAGTAAAGGCCAAGCCAGCACCTCTGAACGAGGAAAACTCATTCTCTTGATTTGTTTTGATCAATGCCATCTTTGAGGCCTTTTACCTCTGGCTGTCAGAACACATCACAGGCATTATTAACTCTCACAGCTCCCATTCAGGATAGGTCAGCAGCATCGCCCTGGTTTAATCAACAGCAGGCACATGGCACAGGGATAGGGAATGCTGCTGGAGGCTGAGGCACTGGAGGCACTCTGAGAGGTTGTCCCGAGCACATATCTGTCCCACCACAGCCCAGCCACGTGTGCAAGCTGTTGGTGTAGATCAGGGTCACTGACCCACACCACTTGGGCCCCACTCCAGCATTCCAGCAGAGGAACCCCTTTTTCCAGACCTGAGTCCTGCTCACAATCCTGAATGCATCACAGTCACAGGAACACAGAGCAACACCACATGTAGCCTCTAACACCTCAGGGAAGGTGCTTTGTTCAAACCTCCTCACAAGTTTCTGTCAGCCAGTGCCCTGCACCTGAGGAGGGGCTGTGGCAGCTCCTATCACCATATCTGCTACAGAGGATGGCTGGTTCTGATGGGAAAGGACAGGTCTTGGATATCAGTGAAGGTTTTGGGCAGTCACCATGCTCCTTGTCTTTCACGAAAGGCCTTCCCTGAACCCTTTCTACAGCAGGATCTGGGGGGAAGCCAATCAAGCAAACTGTGGGATTTTTTTTTCCCTTCCAAACATCTAATGCAAATTTTAACTGATTTTAATTGAGGAGCCCAGAACTGGAATACTGTGTCCAATTCTGAGCTCTTCAGTATAAAAAGACAAGGAGCTATTAAAGAGGGTCCAGCAGAGGCCATGAAGATGATGAGGGGGCTGGAGCATCTCTTATGAGGAGAGATTGCGGGAGCTGGACCTGTTTAGTCTGAAGAGAAGACTGAAAGGGAATCTCATTAATAATATGAAAGGATGAGAAGCAATGGCCATAAACTAAAATATACGAAGTTTTACCTCAACATGAGGAACAACTTTATGTTGGCTGTGGCAGAGAACTGGAATAGCTGCCCAGGGAGGTCGTGCTGCCGTCCTCCCTGGAGACATTCCAAACCACCATTCCACCTGCTCCAGGTGGCCCTGCTTTGTACGGGGATTTACACTGGGTAGCCTCTAGAGATCCCTTCCAACCCCAACGATTCTGTGCCGGTGTGTGTGATTCGCCAGCGCCAGAACCTGTGCCCGCCTCCTCCAGCCCCGTGAGGGCTCCGGGCCCAGCGCTCCCCTCAGGCGGCTCCCGCGCGGCATCCCCACGGGGCCCCGCCGCCTTCCGCTCAGGCGCCGCGCGGCCAGCCCGCAGGGTCCTGGCGGGCGCGGGGCCCTGTGCCGTACAGCATGGCGGCGCTGTGGCGGCGGGCGCGTCCGCCGGCAGTGTCGGGGCTGTGCCGTACGCTCCGAGCGCTCTCAGGTACGCGGTACCCGCGGGGCTCGGGCCCGGCAGCGGCCGCGCATTCGCCGCTCCCCGCGGGAAGCGGCTGCCCGCGCCTTCCGACACCCAGAGCGCCCGGAGAAGGTCCCCCAAGCCTTTTCCACGACCCGTAGATCACAGACTCGAGCGGCTGCTGCGGCGACCGGGCCGCCTCTCCGCTCTACTCCGAGGCGGGGCGGGCGGCGGCCGCCTCCATCCGTGAGGGCTCTGGCAGCCACCGCCGCGGCCGGTGCTCTTGCGGAGCCCGTGCCTCGGCCCCTGGGCGCTGAGGGACCCCCGGGTTCACAGGACAGTGCAGCGGGGTGGGGGCTCCGCAGTGGGGCTGGGGCTGCCCTAGAGACAGCCAAACCTTTCCTGCGCCAAAGGGTAGCGGCCCTCCCAGCCCGCTCGGCAATTCCAGGGCAAACCCCCCCGCCCGGGCTCGGTGCCCGCCCTGCCCGTGACGGCTCCGAAAGCAGCAGCGAGCCTGTGCCCTCACTAGAAGGAGTCGTCGCTCACCTGCGGCTGCTCCCGCCGCCTCGCACGGCGCCGGGAGCCGGGGCTGTCTGTGCCGGGGCCGTGTGTGCAGCGGCCGGGGTGGCAGCAGGGGCCCGCTTCCCTCTGACCGCGTCCCACGCCCCGGCAAGGCACGCACGGCATATAAAGCTTTGGGTCCGATAAGGTGACCCCGCGGAAAAATATCTGAGTAGAACTCGCTGCTGTAATTCCCAGACAGAGACCTGTACTGGACCTCAGTTGCATTAATTATGAGCCTCTTGGGACATTGTGTAAAAATTTAATCTATTTTTTCGCTTTGTTGAAATGTTTCACTTTTTCGTTCACAAAACCAGAGTAGATAGCTTAATGGACAAACCACAGTGAAGTGAGGAAGACCCAAATCAGCAATAATCAATTGTAAAAATAGGTGTACTCTGATACTGTCCTTCTTACATACCTCTCCCATCTTCCTGGTCTGTTTCTATTCCTTCTTTTTTTCACGTCCTCTTCACAGGAAAGAATGAGTATGATCTTCTGGTCATTGGTGGAGGGTCTGGAGGCCTTGCTTGTGCAAAAGAAGGTTTGTATGCATAAGTAACTTAACAGAAGTTTTGGTATAACTTCAGTGGGGTGTAAGGAAACTGAGGGAAGTGTTACTGATAATGTTAAAGCTTTTTAAGAAGCATAATGTGCTCAATACCTGCACATTAATCATTAACTTAGCTCCATATGGTTAATCTGCAAACTGATGCACACGCTCAGATGGTGTGATCTTGTTTGGCTTTTGTCCTAATCTTTTAAAAAATATTTCTTCTTTTGTTGTGGGAAAAACTAATAAGCTTTCATTTCGCTGTTGTAAAAGTATTCAGAGTACCTCCACAGATACTGTATTTTTTAAAATACCATTCTCATTTATGTGTTAAAACAAGACCTTGAGATGTTTCCAAGAACTAACTGCTGTAGAAAACCTTGCCCCCTTTGTATCTCCGGGTAGCATGTTCAACAACCCACAGTGTTCTTAAACATCTCACTTGAGGTCAAATTACATTTTTAGGGTCAGTGGAAGCTGGAGGCCCCAGTCTGGGTTATTTAGCATCTTCCAGAGAATTTGCTGACTACATAGGCAGGTTGGGTCTCTGGTCTGGTATCTTGAGTTAGACAGGAAAAACCACCAGCTGTCATCTCCTGTATTTTATCTGTATCTGTGCTACTAAAAATGTTTTTTTATGTATTTCTCCTTCCTCTAAATACATTACCTTGCTTCTTTGTTTAAAGCTGCTCAGTTTGGAAGAAAAGTGGCTGTTCTGGATTATGTTGAACCTTCCCCCCGAGGTATGGAAGAGAAATAAAAGGGTAATAATTGGAAATGCATACAATTCAACTGCTCAGGTGAGCAGGTTGCTCCAGACAGCAGTGTCCAAAATCACACTGCCTGTTTTGCTTGGAGTAAAAGTCCTGAAGCCCAGCTTGTGCCATGGCTCATTCTCTCCGAGATGAACCAGCTGTGCCTGCTCCCCTGCCTGTTAAGCTTGTTAGCAGTGCTTGCTGCTACCATTTATAATGGACTTCAAACTTAAATAAGTGAGAATATTCCCTCTGTCAAAATGTTATTTACAATTTCTAAAAATTACTAATTGTGTCATGCTTAGGTTCCTCGTACACAATGCACAAAATGAGATCTGCAAGTGTGAATGTTTAGTTACAGAATCTTCTGAGCTCTGAGAAAAATCTTGAGATGGTTTGAATTTTAGAAAAATTCAAAAATATACAGAGATGGTTTTTATCAAACAAATGAGCACAAAGAAAGTTATAAACTGATCTGTAGGAGACAGTAAACTGTGTTGTTACAGAAGTTTTTACTTCCCATGGATCCAACTGTATTGTTACACTAATCTGATGCATTTACTTTTTTTTTCTTTCTTTATTTTTTTTCCCAAGGAACCGCATGGGGACTTGGTGGAACTTGTGTGAATGTTGGCTGCATTCCTAAAAAGCTTATGCATCAAGCTGCCCTTTTAGGGAGTGCCCTTAAAGATGCCCAGCACTACGGCTGGAATATATCCCAACCTGTTCATCATACCTGGTAAAGACTGCTGCCTATCTCTGCTCCTGTGTGCTGCAAATGCATGACAATGACCCTTTCCCAGTTGGTGTTTATTATGGGACAGTTAGGGAAGTGAATTTTGAATGTGAAATTTTAGCCTGGTACTTGTTAAAAACCAGAACTAGTTTCTGGTTTCTCAGGGCAGAAATTACGTTGATTTGGACTTAATAATTTGCTTTTACAACAAAAAATACTGTGGTTTATTCCTCATTTTCAGCAGTTGCCTATATCTTTGTGTTGCAGAACCTGACTTTGTAATAGCTGACTTCATATTCAGTTTCTTGTTTTGTGACAGGTCTGTGATGGCACAAGGTGTTCAGAATTATGTGAAATCCTTGAACTGGGGACACAGAGTGCAACTACAAGAAAAGTAAATAAGACTTTGAAGTTTGTCTTTCTTTCCACAGTCCAGGAGGTGCTCTTGCCCTTGTAGAAGTGCAGAATTGCCTTTGAAGTTTCTATCTAGAGCTAGTATTTTGAGCCTGTAAGTCCTTTCTTCTGGGATCTGTAAGTGCCCTTGTCAATGGAAGTGGTCTCTTCCTCTCCCATTTTCCTTTTTGGTGAAATAGTGGTTGACACTGACCACACACAAAAGCTTTCTAGCAGTGTAGTGATCCTCTCTTTAGTCTGGAGAGGTTTTGCATTAATATGAAGCAATCAAGGTTTCTTAAGATACTTTCGATCTCGTCCCCCAAAATTTCTATGCCATACAAACCCACAGCTAACACTATGCTAGAGCAGCAGATGTTTTTTTTGCTTTCAGTGCAGAAATGGTTCCAAGTTTTTCAGCATGCAGTTCCTTTTATAAAGAAATTATAATAGAAAATTTAACAGCTTCTAATTTTGTTACTCCTGCTGAATCACTTTGGTGCATTCTGAAATGAGCAAGGTATCAGAAATCCTATAGGTAATACTATTAATGCTATGGCTAACAGAAAATGTCTTTTCTCAAGAGGTCAATAACCTGGTCTGAAAGTTTTTTACAAGGTTAAGTTACTTTTCTGTACAGAGGAGTTAAGTGTGACACAATAATTAAGTGACAAATTATGATAGAGCTGCAAACAGCTCTATGAAATAAGATTCCTTCCTTTTACTGCTCTATGCCTGTTTGCTACCCTTTTTAGCACTTAAATACAGAAAAGGTAGCAGATTGTATTTCACACCTATTCTTGTTACGTGTGCATTGCTGATGCTGTTTTCTTCTAAACAGGAAGGTGAAATATTTCAACATAAAAGGAAGTTTTTCTGATCCACATACAGTCCGTGGTTTAACAAAAGCAGGTAAAGAGGTGAGCTGCTGTGCTGATTTCTGCAGTGGTTTTGAACATTTCAGGTCATTTGGGAGCGGGATTGTCCTTTTGCAAACTGCTTTAGGTATTCAGTATTGCTTTAGTGAATGAGATTTGCATTTTCCACTTAGGCAAGTTGTTTATGAACTTGACTGGTGCCTGCTGAGTCCCTGGCTTGGCCTGTTAGATGCTATTGCTTTTTTCTGCGGGTGGAAATGCTGAGACCAAAGATTTTTGTTTGATTCAGTCTGTCATGCTGATGCTTACAGAAATGTAAGTTCTGAGAATTAGGTTGCTCTGAGCTGTTTCCCTCCTTCAGGTGATTTGTAGGGGTGATTAACTCGGTAATACCAAATTGTGTGTGGGAGGCAATTAGTGTGAATGCACAGCTGGGTCACATAACAGAATGGCCATTGCTGGGTATTTAACAAGGCCTGAAAGTGCCTTTTTAACACCTTTTTGAGGGTAATTGTTTCATGTTACTGATTAACACCAGCTTGAATGTCAGGTTCTTGGGGATAGGTGCCCAGGATTTTCTAGAAACATTGTCCTTTTAAGGTAGCTTAACTCCAGGCCTGAGACAGAATTAATTTACTGCTATGATCTCTGTTTTATCCAGACAAGAAATTATTTTAAAGGTGTCATTTGTGCATAAGTTTTGCTTCCAAGAAGTCATCAGAATCTTGCACAGTGTAAGAACAATTGCACAGTTAATATTAAAACAAAACCTAGTAGAGAATGGGTAGGAGAAATTCTGCAGGTATTAGATTATCTCCATCCTTTTTTTAATGCATTAATGATTATTATGTCACATAAATAGCAGATGGTATTGCCAGTTTTCTCACTGATCACTCATTTTTATGTAGAGGAAATCCAAAGACAGATAAAAGGATTGCAAATGCTTGATTTTGATTTTTTATTTTTGTTTGTAGATTGTTGTTACTGCAGATAATATTGTCATTGCTACTGGAGGAAGACCAAAATACCCTATGCATGTAAGTTACCCTTCCATTTGACAACTCTAGTGCTTTGCTGAGATGCAGAACACAGTGAAGGAGGATAAAGAATGTAAAAATAAGGCAACATATGAGAGATTTTTGTACTTCTGTCACACAAAAAATTGTCTTTATATAGAGGATGGCTTTTTAGAAAAACATTTCCATAGACAACAATTTGCTGTGATTCAGTATGTTGGTGTTGCTTAGAGCTATAGGATAATTCAGGTTGCAAGTTGGCAGCCCCAGATATATTTCCCTTGGTCTGTACTTCAGTCAACACAGCCTGAAGTGCTCTTAGCTTTTATTGCTGACAGGATTAGCATTGTAGATTCACCTGTGTCATCATAGGTTGCAGGTGCACTGGAGTATGGAATCACAAGTGATGATCTCTTCTGGTTAAAGAAATCTCCAGGAAAAACGTAAGTTACCTTACCATGGCTGTAATAGATGCTGGCATTCCTACCTTTTCTGTATGGCAAGGTGAAAAATGTTCAAAATTACCTTTTGTACACCAATTTTTCTTCTGTTTTCCTTCTGAAAATGTGCTTTACAATGCAGTAATATCATACTACCAAACTTCATTAGTAACTGATAGATCTTGCCTCTCCTCTCTTATGAAATTCCCTTCTAAAATCAAATTAAATAACGTTTTTCCATGTTAGGTTTTGCTATAGCAATTACACCCCAAGTCACAAGAGGGCAGCATGAACTCACCTGGGGACTGCTCGGTCCCCTTTCCTCGATTCGGGGAGAAACTCCAACATAATTTTGTGTTCTCCTAAGTTGTGGCAGTACTGATAACAAAAGAAAATATGAAGAAACATTTGGGTTACTTTTGCTTTGGAAGCTATTGTTTAACTGAAATATTAAAACACTGGTTTTGGTGGGAATACTAAAATGCCACAGTTGTTTTTTACAGCACACAGCACAGTAAGATTCCAAGTCAACGCTGTGCTACAGAGCAATTTCCTGATGAAGATAATTGTGATAGGAGATGCAGATTTGCTAGCCTGAAAGTCAGATAATGCTATCTTTTTTCTTCTCTATTGAGGAATTCTAGAAAAAGCAAAAGAGGCTTCGAGCTATAATACTGATGTTTGTGCAGAAAACATAGTTGCCATTCATGGCAGTGACCTTGTGCTATAAAAAATGCACTGTGTTAAGCTAAACTTCAAATAGGAAAATGAGGCTTCTTGGTACAGTTTTAGAAAGAAAGTGAATTTGTTGTTGTTTGTAGTGTATCAGTCACCTCTAGAATTTTGAAGGCATGATTTATGTGAGGAAATTGTTTTTAAGAAAAGCAACACCCACCACCCCACCCCCCCAAAACCCCCAACAAAATCCAAACCAAAATATGAGATTTATCCTTGTAAGATGTTTCTGTGAAAATGTGGCTCTTGTCCAGTTGCTGCCAATGCAAGTTGTAACAGTGTAATGTGGGAGTCTAGTGTTTATATGTTGCATTCCTGAGATTTAGTCAAAATAAGCCTGCAGGGGCTACAGTAGCATTTCTGTGCTTTATCAGGCTGTGTCTTAGCAAATGAAGGAGGGAGTTGTTAAAGGTTTGTTTCTGTCGGATTTGTTTCTGTTATAAATATTCCCAAGGTTCAGTTTAACACCTTTTGTTTTCAGTCTGAGGTCTGTTGTAGTTATTCTTTCTTTTCTCCCTCTCCAAATGTACATATCTCAGCTACAAATTACATGCCTGGAGGTTATAGAACTGTCAGTCCTGCAGTTATTCTTTTTTTTTTTTTTTAAAGTAAACCATTAACCAACTTAAAAGTCCCATAGATATACAAACATGGGGAAGAAACTCACTACTGAGATGAGGGTTTTGGCACAGTGTATTAGAAGAGATGCCTTGAAATGTACTGAGAATGAGTGAGAAATTGAGCAGGTGTGAACAAGGTTAGGTTTTGCTTTCCTAACTTTTCTTTTAGACACTGACAATGCCCAGGAACCCTGTTTTGTACAAGAAAGTGTGAATAATATGGGGCTGATGCTATGAGTAAGTGCCAGCTGACATCCATTTTTCATCTCATGAAAAAGAAGAGCAAACATATGCCCATATTACAGAAATTCTCATTCTTTTCCCTGTGAATCTCCAGTAGATATTTCTTTATGGGCAGTATGTGGCTTTTTGCAGCACTTCCCAGGAGCTGCATGCTAATGAGGGTGTGATCATTCATTCACAGATGAATCAGATGCCCTGATGCTGGAAAAATTATTTCCCATTGTGTTAAATTATTTGCCAAGCATAAACCCCAGACTAGCAGATTTTAATCACTTTTACTCAACCTATTCTCTGTACACCTTCAGAAGTTGTGTGTTTTTATTGTAAGATAGAGATGTTATCTGGAGCCTTTTGTAAGAAAACATGTGTCGTACTGACTGTGCAGTCCCTGGGGCTTACAGAGCTGCAGTCTCCAAGTCTGCACTCCTCAGAAGTTTAAAAGCATTGCTGTTAGAACTGGGAGATGCTGCAGATTGGTTTAGGGTAAGGCATAGGCCACAAGTCCATTCAAAAACCTAACAAAATGCTTTTTTGTCAGTGGAAATACCGTGTGGGATGCCATCTGCAAACTGTGAGCTGTTTAACAAGTCTGTATAAGACAAAAACAGCAAAGGAGTGCAAGTGCAGCCTGTCCAGCAGCTGAGTGTTAATGGCTGCCTGGCTGGAGCTGCTTTTTCCTGCAGAACAGGGACTGAACATTCTGCCTTTTGTACCCAGCAAATGTAGGGAACTGAGCATGTGGTCAGGAGAGAGAGAAACTGCTGCAGTGTAGGGATCAACTGGGGACAGAGATGGGAACTGCTGTGCTGGAGAGCTGATACACCTCATAAATTGCAAGTGTTGAAGGACAATTTCAATTATCTTCTTGATTGAAAGGGTGTGAAATATTGGGAGAGGTGGGAGCTGGGGTTTTATTTAAGAACTAAAATGGATATATTTGGTAAATACCAGTCTAAGTAAATCTATTAAACCCATTTTCTGTAATATCGTACACAAATGTTTGAAGACAGGAAGGGCAAATATTTGGCATTTGGAAAAATACAACTATTAAAAAGCAGATGGTTATAAATCAAAATAAAATTTAGCAATGAGTAAAATCTTCATTGGGAACTGTAATCTACTTGATAGGAAGACATAATCTAATTGATAGACCATCCCCGTGTGCTGAAAGATGAGCTGTCAGGGAAGAAGATTGGGCTGGCTGAATAGAGAGTTTTGGCTGGAACTCAGGGAAGAAAGGAGTGTTTATGCCCCTGGGAGAAGAGGGAGGACCACAAGGATACTATAAGGTTGTGCAGGGGGAAAATTAGAGGGGCCAAAGCCCAATTAGAACTTAATCTGGCTGCTGCTGTAAAAGGCAATAAAAATGTTTCTATAAATACAGTAGCAACAAAAGGAGGGCTCAGGAGAATCCCCATCCTTTATTGGGTGTGGGGGATGGGGGAGAAGCACAGTAATAAGGATAAGGAAAAGGCTGAGTTACTTAATGCCTTCTTTGCCTCAGTCCTTAATAGTAAGAGCAGTTGTTCTGTGGGTACCCAACCCCTGAGCTGAAAGATGGGGACAGGGAACAAAATGAAGCCCCCATAAATCATGAGGACTTGGTTAGAAGCCTGCTACAGCACTTGGACATGCACAAGTCCAAGGGACCGGATGGGATCCACCCCAGGGTGCTGAGGAAGCTGATGGAAGAGCTGAATGAGCCACCCTCCATCATTTACCAGCAGTCCTGGCTAACTGGGGAGTCCCAGCTGACTGGAAGTTGGCAAATGTGACACCAACATCAGAAATTTTTTTTCTGGTTGTGCAAAAATATGCACACACTTATTCCACTGCTTTCTTCTTTTCTTCCTTTTCTGTAACAGGTTGGTTGTTGGAGCCAGCTGTATCCTTTGAAAAGCCTGTGATGATCTATGATTATAACTAGCATAACTGTCTTTCCTATGAAAGTTCCCTGAAAGTTTTCAGAATTCCTCTGCTCATGTCATATAGTTGACATGATAGTTGAGTTGGTAAGAGAATAGTAATGGTTTTCTATGCAGTAGCATCATGGAAATTAAGATCAGCTGAGGATAAATTCTCAGGATCTTAAATCCAGTGTTAACTATGTTAACTATAAGACTTCCGAGTTTTATTCTATGTACAAAAGCAAGCTAAAGATGTCTGTGTGAGGAGAACTTGCTATCTCCAAGTGCAAAGCCCACTTGTATACTACTCATATATTGTGTTTATCAAAATTGTTGTTTACATTTGCTTAACTGGTGTGTCACCAGATGTTTCCCTTGAGTGTGCTGGTTTTCTAACAGGCATTGGATTGGACACTACAGTCATGATGAGAAGTGTCCCACTTCGTGGGTTTGATCAGGCAAGTACAGAATATCTTGTCTCCTTACTAGCAAATAAATGAAAAGATAGATTTTATTATTTTTAGCTTCTAAAGAAAAAGTGTTTTTTGCATCTCCAAACATTTCCTAATATGTGCACAGTTTTTGAGGTGGGAGTATTGTTGCTTAAGTGGCAGTGACAAACACCACCCATGGTAGTGACACTAGTGACAGCTCCTGGTTGTATGTCACCCTCTCCCACCCTGGAGTGGCTTCCTTAAAACTAGGGGCTTTTATGCCTTAAAAGTGGTGGCCTGAGTTTGCAAAACATTGTATAAGGATAATTCTTGGGATTTACCCTCCTCATTGAAGTAATCCACACCTGTAACAGCATGAGGTCTGAGCAGGCAGGGAATAATGTGTGTGTAGCACTTGGTCAAACACTGACAGTAGGGCTTGCTCTGAGAACTTGATCCTCTGCAGGCAGGAGGTGCACAATGGCCATTCCAAGTTAATAAAGTATTAATGGAGATAAAATAATTATGTTCAGTCTGCAGCCACATTGAGTCTGATGGAAACTGATTAATGAGCTCTCATGTTTCTGAAGAGACATAGCCCTGCTGTTGCCTTCATATTAGTTAATATCAACTTTGAAAATAAAGTTTTGTAAGCTGAGAGAGCTTGTGTGGAGTTGTTCTATGTAAGTGGTTTTGTAATAATATCCTTTAAGTAATAAACATCCTCTGGCAAGGTGCAACCTGAGTTCCTGCAGTCAAGAGCACTGATGTCTTTGGATAAACCTGTTGATGCCACATTTTACTACTTGAGTTTGGTGTGGCATTGTTTCAAACAGGCTCTTAGGACAAAAGTGGTTTGATTTTTCTTTTTTTTGTTCTTTTTTTTTTGTTCTTTTTTTTATTAGAACTTTCCATGAAACCTTAGTGATTCATAGTCTTTGCAGAGAAATGTCAGGTGTTCTGGCAAAAGGAAATATCTTTCTCCCATTGTTTTATTAAAGTATTTAATTTTCTTCAAACTACTAGAATATTGTAATTATGGTAATGGTAAATTGAATATGCTCTAGATTGTGTAAACAACAAATGCTTTAAAAGCAACCATTTTATTAATATACTGTTAGAATCCTTGAAAATAATTTGAGTATTCAGGTGTAGGTGCCTCTTGGAATGGAGTTGCAGGTCATAGTGGCTCCCTAAATTATCATGTGTTAGTCATGCATAATAGCTAAGTGATAAAGAATGTTTGAAATGCACAAGGTGTTTACTGGGGTTCCCTGAACCCAGCTGAAGGAGGGGTTTACATTAAAAAGGTCATGTATGTAAGAAAAAACAAATTTGTTTCACTACTCAACAGCAAATGGCTTCTTTAGTAACTGAGCACATGGAATCTTATGGCACAAAATTTTTAAAGAGATGTGTCCCAACTAAAGTTGAAAAATTGGAGAGCGACAGATTGCAAGTCACTTGGAAAAATGCTGACCTGGACACAGAAGAAACGGATTCTTTCAACACCGTTATGTGGGCAGTAGGTAAATATGATTATCTTAACATTTCTTTGCAATGCTTTCCATTCTGAAACTGAAGTCGCTTCATCATAGGGTCTAACAGCCCTCCCTATTAAATGTTTAGTGACTTAAACATTGATGGTTGTTTAATTCCTTTCTTGCATGCCTGACTTGTTCATTTGCAGTCTAAAAACACATTAAAGTTACAGTGAATGGAAGAAGTCTGTGGTAACTAATTTTGCATGAGCTGCAATAAATGGGAGACCATCTAGTCTTTCTCACTTTTACTAGAATAAGAACATGAATTCCAGCAAACTCTGGTTTGCAGGTAGTGTTCTCTAAGTCCATACTCTTGATTGATTCATGAAGCTATTCACTGTAAGTGCATATTTATGCTGTTTAAGAGGCTACCATTTCTTCTAGGATTCTTTCTAAACTGTGCTGCTCACATTTGTTACTGCAGCCATCATCCAGTTCAGGGAAAGAGAAGTAACTGTCTCTAAAAACCCCAGGTCTTTCAGGGAACCTTGAAACTGTATAGCTTTTTGAAATCTGGTTAGGGAGTTTCACATATCTCAAACCCCTTGGAACTGACATACGATGACTAAGAGTAGATTGGTCTAAAAGAATGCTGTGATAAATGTCTATGAGCATAATCACCAGAAATGGGAATCAAATCTGGGGTTTTCCTCCTTTGAGACAAATGCTGCTTCCTGCAAGGGCTAACACACTAAATTATGTACAAGGCTCCAGCCCACAGGAATGAAAATACTCCTTCAGTGTTGCCTCCCATAGCTGCTCATTGTCACTGTTACAAGTGTGTCCTCATTTTCTGTATTGGTTCAGATGAGCTGTAAACCTAACAGAGTAGGAGACCTCTTGTCTTTTGTGCTTATAAAGCTTTGTGAATATCTGGAATTCTAGATCAGTAATGCATGGCTAAAGGTAGTAGTGGTATTTGGCAGGAGATGATATCTGGCAAACAAAGTAAATAGGCTTAAATGTACTGCCCAAGAAATCCGTTTTGATGCAGACAAGTAATCAGTTTTACCAGCAGCTTTAGCAATCCTCTTGACTACTTTATATTCTTTTTATCTGGCACTTCTGTTTTAGAGTAGTGGGAATGCATTACTCTTTCATTTATTTACAACATAAATCTAAATTCTTGTGGTTGTAGAATAGATCCATTACAGGATCAGAAACAGATCATTTACAGCATTTTGTATTGTGCCCAGTGGATTTAATCTACTGTCAAGTTGTTCCATTTCCCTGGTTAAGTCAGCTTTATATCTTCCTAATACCCCAAACAGAGAGTGGGTTGTGCATTGTGACAAATGTTTTCTTTTCCTTACTGTAACTGCTACTCTCTTAGAAGTGCCTTGGGCTCTACAAATTGTGGAAACAGCCTATAATAATGGATTATTCTCATCAGAACCAATCAAACAGACTAGTGCTTGCCAAGAGCAAAAAAAAAAAAGCTCATGCTATCTGAACACATAACAATCCTGAAAACTGTAGAATAATATTCATGAGATGAGATGAAAATGTTTCCAAAAAGTGGGTTTCTAAGTGCTGTGTTTGATTTTTCTTAAGCTTTCTGGTAAAAAACCCAACCCATTCTGCGGTTCTATGAAAAGTACACTGAGTTGGAGACATACATGTCAAATGTCAAGTCAATTTGTTTACTTTTGTCTAAAATGGAAAAAAAAGCTATTAAGTTGAAAAATAAGAAAAAAAATCTTGGTTTACTGTTAATTATAATGGAATAAGGTTGCATGATAGACTGTTGCAATTCAGTTGTAACATGAGTCTGCTCATTATTTCAATACAGAGGAACTACATGTATTATAATTTTTGTCATAGATTTGAGTTACAATCCATATTTAGAAACAGGAAAATGAATAGTGTGAGGGTTTTGTGTTGCCTTTTTTTAGTGTTCAAATTGGCATTCCACCCTTAAGGATTAAACACATTAACAGTTAAAGCTGGTTAATTGGTGTGCAGTCCATATGATTCATTGTTTTGCTCTGTATCAACACACCCACACCAGGTGTCTCAGATAATAGGCTGGGAAACTTAGTGGTGTTGAGGATTTCCTGTCTGCAGATGTGCCAGTTATAATACTGATTGAAGCAAGTCAGCTTGTAGAGTTGGTTAAAAAGCAGCTGCTATTGTTAACTAATTATAGTCTAAATTGTAGTACATATTTCCATAATTTTTGCCAGTGCATCATGGAATTTTAGTAGGATTTTATTAATAATGTTAAAAATAGTTACTAATAGTGGGACATAGTTTAATAAGCTACAGTACTATCTCTTAATGTCAACCCTTTAAAAAGAAAATTAGATTGTGTTTCTGTGGCGAGTTTTTGTTTGCTTTTTGAATGTGTGATTTTCTGCTTGTCTGGATAAGCCAATAAAAGCAGGCATAATGCTCCCTTTGTTTTTCTAGCAGCTTTTTTGAGCTAGTCAAAATATTTGGATAAAAAAAGAAATCTCATTTTGATACATTTTAATGTAGTTTGAAAGTTTCAGTCCAAAGCTTTGTAGGTAACTCATGGATCTATCATACCTTGCTGAGGGGCTACATACTGTTATATTCCATCTCAATGCAAGAGCTTGTTCTTGATGTTTGATTTTTCCAGTTCAGCTCTCTATGTCCTTCTGTCTTACTATTGTTGTCTTTGGCTTCTAGAGAATTCTCCTGAAATTACAAGATTTTGAGGTTTTGAGTTTTTGTTTAATGTAGAACCAGTAAACTTTTACTAGTATATAGTATTCTTCCTGCCCTTAAGGATGTACAAAAAATGTTTGTTAGATGCCTAATTTACCTGAGTTCCAAAGCAATGGTAAGTGTGTGCACGTTCAGAGTAAACATGGGGTCTTCATCCAAAGGAAAGAGTAGAGACTCACATCTTTGTGGGCAGATGCAACTGCTGAGCTGCAGGGCAAAGTTGCAGGAGATGAGGCTTTGTGGAGAGGGTTCATTTCAGCTGTTGAAGGGCTGAAACCTGTGGCTGGAGTGCAGCAGTTGCAAACAGCTAATGCACAAAAGGAATTGGTAAGTAGTATTTCCATGTGAGTTTGCAATACATGGCAAAATATCACTTCTGTAACTCAAATTTGATGATTCACAAAATCCTTAGAAAAGATAACTGGGTCACTCCATCTCCAGTGGGGTCCTACTGTGCAGAGGATCAACAGTGAATGCATGATTAAACTAAGCAGGTATTTGTGAAATAGCCTGGAATTAGTTTGTCAGAGAATGTGAGGTAGTGTGCTAGCAAACTGTGACAGAAAGAGCAATGACCAGCAGTAGATTTTTAAGTTTAGCTTTTGGTTTAGGACAGCTTTATAAAAAGAGTTTTTTCCCTCATGAGGGCAGTGGAACAACCATTCTCAAATTCCAATTCATTTGTATACTTAGAGGATCCCAACTGCATCTTTGAAATAATATAATCTTTGCTGTAAAAAAGAATTACAGCTCCAGGTCATTGTAAAGCTGAGCAGGTATCAGGTGTTGCACATCATATGTTATCAAGCACATTGTTTTATGTGTCACACTGGACATTAGGCAGACTTATTTTGTTGTTCAGTAAAACAGAATCCTTGCTGTTCAGTATCAACAAAGGGTTAAGTACATAACATTTTTTGTAATAGTGTTCTTCAAGGTTTACAACCAAACCAGTTTGGGTTAACAAGGGAAACAGAAATTTTGTTAGGAGATTTTCTGTGAAAAGTCCCATAAGGTAAAATATTGCTGTGATCTCCTTTGAGCACATCTCTGCCAGCCCCTGTAGAAAAGGGAATGGGCTTTAGATTTGTCTTGGCAAACACAATCTTGCCATCGATTTTTAAATCTTTGAATTATTCAGTGAAAAATAAAGCACCTTGGTTGATCTCAAGACAACTCTAAATGCTAATATGCTATGGTTTGCTGAGGCTTTGGGTCTTTGTTCTAAGCTTCCCATGTCTGTCTCTCTTACTAACTTAAATTCATTACTCTCTTGATTAGATATAGTTTCTGCAATCCTAATGAAAATTGTCATTCCCATTATATCTGCCAGTCTAGAGTTTTTTCCCAATATCTAATTTTAAAGACATTCAGTCAGACTTTATTCAGCAGGGCTGTTTTTAATGTGCTTTTCCCTTTATGTAACCAACCCAAAAACTTTGAATGTAACTTTTATTTTATGCTACTTATTTTACCAGCCTGTAACTACAAAAATAACTTGTTCATGTGCTAGGCATCCCTCTAAATGTGCATGTGAAGAACGTTGGATTCAGAACTATTTCAGCACTAAGGTGCTTTTTGAGTTGATAGGTGATGCTAATCTTTACCTCAATGATGGTAGAAATAGATTTTTAAATGGCAGAAAATTACTCCAAAGTAATTTCTTGAAAAGAGTATAAATACTGTGACAGTTCATGCCGAAAAGAGATTCTTTTCAATCATAAATGCTGAGGAGATTGAAGCCAATGACCTGCCTCTCTTGGGAATGTGGTTGAATGCTTGTTTTTGAGACTGCAGAACCATCCTTTGAAACCAAACCCTTGGTTAAAGCAAGCTTTGTGTGGGAGAAATAATGTAAGGGTGAACTGTAGCTTTCTTCCAAGAAAATGTTTCCAGCCCTCCTCCCTTTTTACAGGACATTGAGAACAAGAAAAGTAGAATTTTAGAATTTGAAAATGCTGTAAGTTTTTTATTTGATTACATGTCACTTGGAGTTGCTTTTGTTGTGAACTCCAGATGTGCACTGGATGGCCACAGGCAGGTTTTTGCTCATTGCACCACAAGCTTTCTGCTGAGAGGACTCCTCTGGTAAAAATTGTCCATGCTACAGGAGAGTACAGTGAGCAGCCTTGCCAGAGAGCCAATTACTGCCCTAGTATTGACTAAGGGCCAGATTATTTTTCAGATTGTGGCAGGCATGCTGGAGGTTTATCAGTAATGGATGTAATGTTCAAAAGCATCCTTGTGGAAATGGTGCATGCTGTTATCAATGTGATAAAGGCTCTGAACTATTTTTAACCTTACTTAATCTTACTCTAGTCAATATTTTCCTGTAATCTGAACAGTAGTTACACTGAAGTGGTTTTTATTAGTCATTTTCAGCTGGTTATATTTTAGTGAACATCTTGTGGGTTTTAGGAGACATTTGAAGGAGGAAAGGGCAGTGGTATTGAAACTAATTTGGGGAATGTGTCAGGCACTCAGAATGAAGAGAGTATTGAGACTGGGAACACAGACAAGATTTTGATTAAGGTCAGACTGAGGTCAGATTGGGTAAAGTTATAAGGTGATGTGCCAATGTACAGGGAAGAAGTGGGGAAGACTATTGGGCTTGAGCTTTATTCCAGAAAAACTCTCCTGTCACCCACCAGTGGCATCCTCACAGTGGCCATCTACAATAAAACATGTGGTTGGCTCCAGGTTGGATTTTTCAAATGTTGGGAGTCAAACAGGCATTCTAACTTCCCTGGTTAAGAAACTCTGGAAGACCCATTATAAAATTCTGCTGTCAGCTGCACCTTTATCACCCTAGGAAATCTTACTGGATATAAGAGTATGCTGTCACTCATTTACCATTGCTACTTACCTGACTGTGGCTGAGTTCTGAATTCTGAGTTTAGCTGCTTCAGTCTCCGCTGTTGAAGGTCCTGCACATGAAGGTCACAGTCTGATACTTGTTCCCCTTGTTCCCCTTGTTCCCCTTTTTGACTGTTCAGGGGTAATTACCAGAAGCCCCGGGCAGCTGATGGGACACAAGTGCCACACCACAACACAGCCAGCCTGGCCAATGTCTGTGGTGTGACCTTCAGCCACTCCCCTGTCCCCTCTGCAGTGGAGCCCCCTGGCTAGCAGCCCCTTAGGAAGCTGTGTTGTTAGATTTTACAAAAACAGATCAAAAAGCTGGTTTTTCTTTTAAAGTTAAAAGCAAATGGGGGCTGTCACTGAAAGCAGGGCTCTGTGTGGTTTTCACAGCTGTGTGGTAAGTGTATGGGTCTATGAAAGATGAGATTATGTGTGCTGTTAGAAGTGCACGAGGCAGGTAACCTTTTTAAAGGTCAGATTTGAGTTACACCTTTCTTCTAGATATCTGGAATATTTTACTGTTTTGAATGAAAGCTATATCTAATCTTGTGTCCTATAAGTGGTACACTCCTGTTCTTTGGCAGTTTGAGGACATCTTCAAACTAAAAGCACATGTGCTGATTTTAGGCAAAGGGTGGGTTTGTGTGCCTGGTAGGATTTGGGATCTTAGAAATAAGCTGTGATGTCATGCTTTCTTGAAGTGGAAAATGTGGAAAAAATCAGGAGTTATGGTATAAAATGAAAGTCCTACTGAGAAATTGTGAGAACTGATTTTATAGTATAGGTGAATGCTGGGAAACATCAGAAGTCTGAATTTGGCATTACAACCTATTAAGACACATTGTATAATCATGAGCCTAAGATACTAAATTTGAGATGAAGCAAGATCATTAAGTATAATTCTTGTTTATGGGGGTGAACCTACATGTGTCTGAAGGCCAATAAAGCTTCAGTTTAGTGTTTAAAAATTCTCGTTTTGCCTTCCAAAAAAAATAGTTAGGCAGTTAAATTGAGAGAGAAACTTCACTATGTTGAAGCAGCACATTTTTTGTAACTCTTAGCTATTAATACCAAGCTGTACATATGTTAAAACTGGCTGCAATGGAAAGGTTAAGTGTTATCCTGCAGGTTTGATAAACTCAACTGTTGTTGTCACAGGTCTTTAAATGACTCTATTGATGGGTTTTCTTTTTTTCCTCTTTCAGTGCCTGCTGTTGCGTGCTAAGTTTTCTCTTGGCACTGCCTGGCAGGAAAAAGAGGAAACTAGAAAACCCCATTAGTTGTCCATTTGCAGAATACCCAGGCTTTGCTCTCAATACCCAAAGAAATACAACGGTAGGAAGTTGTTTCACATCCGAGCCAAGATAAGGTCCTGGAGGTTTATTATTTTTGTTGCCTGATAGCATCAGGACTGGGGAGCAGGGGGCAGAGAAGGAACAGCAGATCAACATCCCATGGGGACAACAGAAGGGAAGACAGACAGATAGCCAAGTGCCGACAGCTTCAGTCAGTGCTCCCAGAGGAAGTGTTGGTTTCACCAGATGAAATTAATACACAGAAGTCTTTACAGAGGCATTCAGATGTGACATTGTTTGAGGGGCCTGGCTATATGGAAGATGTATAAAGCACTGAATCATATGTTTACATATAATTAGGTCTGTATTGACAAGCCAGGTTTTCCTTTTGTTTAATAATTTCCTACATTAACATCAAAGAGCTTGTTTTTATAATGAAAACACGTTTCCTTTTTTGTTTTGCTTTGCTGTAGCTCTGTATTAAATTGAATGCAAATCGTGACTCACGCAAAGGAGACTTGTATGTGTAGAGATTTAAAGCCTCTAAAACAGACACAATGTTAAAAAATTTCCTTAATTTGGATGTATTCAGGTATTTTTTTTTCCTGTGTGATCCTGTTCAGCCTTAAAAAAATTTTGACTACCACGTAATTTCACTGTGCTTATTAACTTTCAAACAAGTTGGATAGAATTTAAGATTCCAATTTCTGGGTCAGGAATTGCTTCCTTAGATACTTTATACAAAGTTCAGTGTAATGCTGTTAAGACTTCAGTGATCTAAGGGGTAACTATGCAGAAAACACTACAAAAATATATTTTTTAAATAGGAGATAATTTGATATCATTGGAATAGGAAGCTGTAATAAAATCTGGGCTTCGTTGGATTTGCCTCATTTGTTTTTAAATACATTTTAAAATGTTTCTAAACTCTACAGCAATATCTCAAATACAGTTTGAGATAACTAAATCAGCATTTAGGACTTGAGAGCAAAGTTGATAAAATTTTTCATCTAAGCTGAGGGAACTAAAAGTGTTTGAAGATAAGTATATTCTGATTACAAGAAGAATGTTAATAATGTTAGTAATTACAATGAATGTTTAACACTGAACAGCATTATTAATAATTTTATTCAAAAAGTATACACAACACATTGATTGGCACTGAGTGCCATTCAGTTAATGTTTATTGGAATTTTTCAGTGTAGAAGTTGTTTCGTTTTTATATGTCTATTTGTGCTACATTAGGAAACTGAATTTAGAATGTTCAATAAATATGAAATCCTATGGTTTTTGCACTTTATCCAATGGATGTTGTCCTCCATACTTAAAAAGGATTAACCCTCTGGTGTCTGAGCAAGGCAATAGTGATGGAGCTCCTTTCCCACAGAATGTCATATCCATGCTTTCCACCCCTGCAGCTCTCTCAGTATAAGTTTTCTCATATTTCTACTTGGGCTGTCAAATAGAACGAAGTTCTTGGAGACCCACACTGGAGGATGCCAGCTTTTTAGATTTAACTCTGCTGAAGTTTTCCAATAGCTTTTACTTGATTTTTTTTTTTCCTTAAGGCCGAGCCCCTGACACCAAAACTCTCAATTTGGAGACAGTTGGAGTGAAAACTAACTCTGAAACTGGAAAGATTATTGTTGATGCCAGTGAAGCTACTTCTGTTCCTCACATTTATGCAGTTGGAGACATAACAGAGGTACTGAGTCTACATAAACTATTTTACAATAACAGGAAGCCAACTTTGTTCCTGACTAATAACTAGTCCCCAGATGTAGTCATGCTCTAGTGTATATCTTAGTGTTTTGCACTTTTTCACTTGGCAGGGCTGGAGTGTTTATGCCAGCCACCTGGGTCAGTAATTTCCTTCACAGGGGTCTTGTGAAGTATCTCAGCATGAGAGATTATTGCTGATTTTTATCGGGGAATGCATCATTGGTCAGAGGCTAATAATGATGTCTTTATCACTCTATTATCTTTCTAATAATGTTTGTATCACTTTTGACATGACTTCATGCTGCCTGTGAATGCTGAGTGAAAGCAATTCTTCTGTAGCTAAGTACATTTGCTGGGAATGACCATGACAATTTCTGTGACTGCATTTGGGGTATCTTGGGTGTTAATTGAGACTGATCAAAAAACAGTTTATCAGCTCCCTGATGCAAAATACTTCTGACTAAGTACTTTCCTCTAGAATAAGAAAAAGCAATTGCTGAAAGTACTAAATGCATTTGACTTTTCTTCATGATTTGTGAATTATTATGCTAAATAAACATGAGGAGTGTGGCTTTTTTGTTTGGATTTTTGTTGTCCTTTAAGAAGGGGACATTATAACTCAAGCAAAATAATTTACTTTTTAGAGAGGTAAAACCAGATTCTGTGGTCTTATTCTAGTGCTATTGATAATCTATAGTCATATATGACAAGAATGTCTTGTCATGATAAATGTGCACTTAAATACTTTCAGTCTGCCAGTTTTCATTTTACATATGAACTCAGATTATCTGCTGTAAATTGGACATCCTCAAATATGTTGATTTCGTAAAAAATGTTTGGATTCTGAACTGTAGAGTTAGAGGAGTATGTTGTCGTCATCTGCCTGCTGTGCCTGGAAAATTTGGGCAATATGTAGAATACAGAGCAATGCTGGGCATTGCAAGATAGAGTTCTCTCACCTGTTACTGGAATTGAGGCCTTTCTGTCAAGATTGTTTTTCATACAGTGCAGGCATCTGCCTTACAAGTCTGGTAAAGCTAAATACTGTAGCAATATCCAAACAGTATATATAGTATAATTTTAGAGAAGTTTAGAAAATTTCTTGGTTTGCTATGTTTAAAATATTTTAAAGGTCTCTCAAATGTATAAACCTTACAGATACTTTTAGTTTCTGAAGAGATTGTAATGGATGAAATGATGTCTTGGGAATAGGCCTGCAAATTTCTGACTGGACTCTGGAGCTGCCAGAGACGCTTAAATCTCATAAATCTGCTGACCACTCCTGACCTCTTCCCTCTGTGTAGACATGTGTTTCTTCCTGTCTGTCTCCATCTTCATGTGGACTTGCCATTTCCTTTTAAATTGTGTTAAAACTCTTCCCTTCTCAGATATTTCTCCTTTTTTTTTGCTTTTTTTCTCCCTTGCTCTACACAACTCTCTCCAGTTGTCCTGTCCAGTCATTCAGAGCTTTGGAATTTTGTAGAGTTCCTCTCCTTTCTTCTCATTTCACATGCAGAGTCCCTCTGTATTTGTCATTTCTTGCTCTCAGATTCTTCCTCAAGTCCAGTTTCTGCTCACAACAACCTCCTACGCCTGCTTGTTCCTGATGTATATGGATTGGCTGCCTCCTGCTTTCCAAAATTTTCTTTTTAATTTTATCCAAGAAGCAGTTGTTAGAGGCAAAGCTGGCAGAGCTTAGAATCTGCTGCTTATTTTGCTGCCAATCTGCTGTGTTATTTTGGGCAACTCATTTCCTTTTGGATGCTTTTTGTCTTCTGCCCTTTGAGGATTTAGGTAAATAAGAAATATAAAGTTGGAGGCAGGATGCTCTCCTCTTTGCTTCTCTGGATCTAAAAAATCATGTCTTCATTTATTTGTCATTTTCATTTTGTTGTTAAAACTTGGATTTCCTTTTCCTGCTTTTGTCCCTATTAGTGCAGATTTTTGAACCTGAGTGGTTCAATAGACACTTCTAAGTGGAAGTGTTAAAAACAGCAGCACACTTCTATGCTGTGTCCAGTGTACAACTGGGGGAAAAAATGAAGAAGTTAAGTCAGTGCTCTGTAGACATTCCCTTAAGCTTTTATCTGTATATTGGTTCAATGCAGGGAATTAGAGAGATCATCATGTAGTACTCATACATTTCAAGAGTTTAGAGGAAAAGAGAAATACTGCCACTATCTTATCTGACTCCAGCATGTCACTTGTGTAATTCCACTTGCTAAGCAATGAAGTTTATTTTATTTGAATACTTAAATTAGTTTAGTGGGGGTTTTTTAAAGCAGAATTAATTTAAATAATACATTTCATTGGCATGGGAACCAGCACGGAAATAAATTTCTGTGTTGGTGCTTGTCTCAAATTAACACATGAGAATCAAGGGTATCCTGCTGAGAACCACAAAGCTGCAGAGCTTGGTTGTGGTACTTTCTGCGTGTGACCTACCAAAAGAGCACAGGAAGGGGAATCTTGTTTCCTGTGAGTGAGCCTCAGTGATCCCGAAGAATCATTATAAAAATTATTTTTTCTCCTGGTGTTCCTGCTCAGGATTTCTCTTTGCTCTGCTCTGTCCCTGTTAGAGTTTCTTTGCTACCATAAAGTGCTTTTGCTCAAATTTTGCGAGTAGCTCCCATGCCCTCCTCCCTCCTTTACCCCTCCACACTGAATAAATACTGAATAGTGCTACCAAATAGCAAGAACTGCTTTTTTTGTTTGAATTCAATGCCCTGTCTGGAAGGGGAGTGAGTGAGGGAGCAGCTGAGTTTCCTGATTGCTCAGAATGACTGTTTTCATTTGGGAGTCCTACCCAGCTGGTACAAATGGGAATCTGTGTGTGCATGGGTGTCTTGTTGCACCCCTGTATGACAAATGGAATCCTAATGTTACCCAAGATTTCATTTGGAAAAAAAAGGGAAAAAAATCTTCCAGATGCGAGTCAGTTTGTGTACCCTCAAAAAAACATTATTCAAGTTTTGGCAAAATATTATTTTCAACTGGCAGGTGAAATTGCATTTCAGCATTTTCATCTTCTGTAATCAGGATCAGGAAAATCAAGTTGCAATTTTAGTGTGAATTCTTTTTTTTTTAGTGCTGATATAAACTCTCTGTGTTAAAATCCTTCCTCCAGTAGTGTTCTTGTTGAAAAGCATGGCACACACTATAAAGACATTTTCTCAGAAGGAGGTTTATGGTCAGGCCACTCTACATCTGTCATATTTCAAAGGGTGTTACAACAAAGATGTGTAGAGAAAGTGGAATGTACAGTATGTTGCTTTGAATAGAAATGAGACCAAAAAAAGTTGTGTTAGAACAAATACACATTACTTCAAAGCTTTTTAAACTCTCTTAGGACCATCTCAGTTAAATGTATAATCCATTGGAGGATTCTTATGAACAATTCGTATCCATAATTATCAGCAGAGTAGTTCTACACATGACTGCAAAGTGAATGTTCATTTCAAATATTTACCAAGGAAGGTCTTTAAGTCATTGTTTATGAGGAATTGGGCTTTATCTGCATGGATGTTTTAGTAATTAGTTGGGTTTTATGGAATGCATGGCAGTGCTTTCACAATTTTATCTCTCGTTCCAATCTTCTATTCATTTCTGGAATGCCAAAACAACGTATATTTCCTGCTACAGAAATGATTGGCAGACATGTTTCAGGCAAATGTGTGTAAGAAAACACAAATTTCATCTGGTAAATTACATTTACAGACTTGAAAGTCAAAATGCCGGATTTGAAAAATTGTGACTTGAGGGATGTTAGAAGGAAAAAGGGATAGACTTGCAGCTTTGTGATTTGTCATGAGCTGTGGAGGAAAAATAGATTAGCCTTCATTAACAAATAGAATTGTGATTTCTGTTATCAGGTTAGATATAATGTTTCAGATTTTTTTTTTGCAATTGAACTTTTAAGTTATTAGTACAGATAAAAGCCTAGATGCATATTAATATGTAGATAATTAATATGGTATGCGTGCTGAAGAAAATGGTAGCTAATACCATGTACAAATTCTGTCCAACAACACACAAAAAAAGATAAGCTAGTAAAGAGGAATGGATTCAAGTAAAAACCTTTAGGATAATGAAAAAAAGTGAAAAAACTTTGAATGTATGTGATGTTCTTATTTTATTTTCTGCTGAGAAACTTATTTTGAGAGCTTTTGAGAGCTTATTGAATGACTGCCTCTAAGTGGGGCTTTGCAGGAGTGTGATAAGTGCTGTATCTAAATAGAACGTGTGTGAATCAAAACCTCACACATTTTATAAAGCCTCCCACATTGTGCCACAAAAGTGTTTCTCAGTTATGGATTTCTTATGTTTTTGCATCATTCCTTCTGAATTTGTGACCTCTTTTCTCATGTCAGACAAGCATTTTGATTATATGTCTTGGATGAACTCTTAACCAATGGGGTTTTTTATTAGATTTATGAATTTTATTTAGTCTTACTAACCTGTATGGACTGTTCTTCCTTGGGCTTGAAAATATTCCCTTGCAAATATTTTAATTCTTTTTTTATTAGATTTATGAATTTTGTTTAGTCTTATTAACTGTATGGACTATTCTTCCTTGGGCTTGAAAATATTCCCTTGCAAATATTTTAATTCAGTTCTCAAAAACTTTCAAGTTCTTTAAAACCAGCTCTGCAGTTCTGATGCTGCAGCAGTGCTGTGCCAGCACTCAGAATTAGGGTTCTGGCACATACACAGCCCTGTTTGGATATAAAATGTACTCAGGACTCATGGCTTGAACTGGAGCACACCCTGGTCATATCCTGCTGTCGTTCCATTTCTCACTTGCAGGAAGTTTGCATTTGCCAATGGCAATCCCTTTCAAGCCCCTCTGTAACAGCAGAGCCTGAGACCAGGATCAGCTCACCCTTTAGGTCACAGTGCTAGCAAAAGAGCTTTCCACTTTTCCAGTCCAGGACCAACTGAGGAAGTCAGTAACAGTGTCTACAAATAGCTAGGTTTTGTGCCTGTGTTCTGTAAAAATGTGTCAGACAATATTTTTTAAAGGTCTGATATTATAAAAACACTGTTGCTTTAAGCTAGGCTCATCTTGCTTTAAAAAGACACTTTGAAATATTTCCTCATGGCTTACTTTGGAGTGAAGGGGCGAAGTGAACAGCCAGCATGTGAATATGTGCTGCTTTTCAAGAGGTGCCGTGATAAGATATAAAGATTTGACATATTTGTGGCATTTTCCCCCCATTAGGACAGATAGTAAACTCAGACTTCAAAGCATGTTTGGACAGAAATTATTATTGCTTTTTCTATTTGGAGCCCTGGCTACCAAGCTGGAATTCCAAAGAGTTGGCTTTCCTCTGACCATTGTCCCAGGAGAAATCTTTGGATGCCGCTTCTCCTTCAGCTCAAACAAAGCTCTGTGCTCTCTCCTTAGGGCCGTCCTGAATTAACACCCACAGCAATAGCTGCAGGAAAACTGCTGGCTCAGCGTCTGTTCGGCCAGTCTTCAGAGCTGATGGACTATGACAGTGTGAGTTATGTCTTTTTGCAGCGAGAACAATCTTTGGCTTTTTTCTTTTAAAGAATTTTTAAGGAATTGCATTTTGTCACCTGGAATCCAGCTTTGACAGCAGCCAAAGTGGAGGTGTGTGCCTGTGCTACACCTCTCAATTATGCACAAGTGTCTGCCAGGCAGCTGCTGCACATGGTTCTGCAGTAACAGCTTCTGCTTCCTCCCAAGCAGGTGCCTACCACAGTCTTCACTCCCTTGGAATATGGTTGTGTTGGCCTGTCAGAAGAAGCAGCTGTGCAACGTCATGGATCAGATAATATTGAGGTATGAAAACATTTTTAATTTTCTCATTGGTGTCAGAGTTGTCCTGTGGAAAGGCAGAATTTTTACTGCTGTATTAGGTAAAATTTTTTGTCCCCAAATACTGTGTTTACAGTTAGTGCTCAGAACTTCAGTAGTATTGCAGCAGATCACAATAGCAACTGTCGCCTATTGTGCTTAAAATCGCTGATAGGGTGTGACAGCTTTAAAGTAGCTGCCATTTTAAGAAGTTACATTGTGCAGCATCATTAAATAATGGTTATGTTACTTTCTACAAGTTACCCTTGAAAAGATATGTTGTGTTACTCTTATTCACTTGGAAAAATCATTAATGAAAAAATAACAATTTACTATTCAGAATGCAAAAATTACAGTTTGGATTTTGTTGTGGGATGCATTATTATAGATATGAAAAGATTCTTGGATTTCATTTTTTTCAGTAAACAAGTCATGGAATCTTTGGGAGAAGCTTAAAAATGCTAGTTTTTTTCCTTTAATTTCGTGCATTAGTCTGAGTAGCATTATTTGTGAGGGTTTTTTCATTTTTTTTTTAATCTAATGATTCTCTGGGAAAGGTTTGTGTTAAGCTCTTACTGCACTCCATATTTTTCTTTAAAATAACTAACAGATTATAAATTAATCAATATTTGTACAAAGGTATAAATATGTAGTAATAGTAGTTATAATAAATACCAGGTTTTGCCATAATAGTATTGTCTAACACAAAATGTTATTGTTTTTCCTACCAGGTATACCATGCATATTATAAACCTTTAGAGTTCACAGTGGCTGAAAGGGATGCAACTCAATGCTATATGAAAGTGAGTTTTGTGGGCTTTTAACTTGCTTTTAACTTAAAATGGGATATGGTACAGCCAACTTTAAAGAGCACTGTTTGCCAAAAAAACATCTCAAGATGGATATTTTCTTGGTGACAGGCATCTTGAAATTGCTTTACAGATATTGGCATTTTTCAGAACTGACATTCTGTTAATAAATACCATCTTTGAACTGCTTTTAAGGTCCTAAAAAGTATTTCAGATTCAGATCAATCTCTGCTTCTCCCAGCAAAGTTCTTAACTGGTTACATGAAATATTTATATTGACACCTCTTGCCAAAAGTATGATACCTTCAAAAATTAAGCATAGGGCTTATGAAACTACAGCAGCTATTCAGTTTTTACTCAAGAAAACAAGAAGCTCCTGGTTTAGACCAAAGTGCCAGACCTCAAAAGGGCCTTCTGCAGCAATCCAGTTGCTCAGTGTTGGAAAGGTTTTTGAAGCTCTTGCCTACAGTAGAGGATCTTAGCTAAAATGAAGTGTAGTGTTGGTAGAATATATAATACTTTTCTTTTTCTTCCTTTTCTCCTCATCATCAGGGAACAGTAATTTTTAAGCACACTGATAAATGTGTTTATCAATTAAATTATACAATATTGTATTGTTATGTAAGGAATGTCCATTGTCAATAATTGCAGTCAGTTTTACTGACTGTATTTTGTCCTCTCTGAATTTTGTAAATCCTTGCCTTAGGTGTCCCAAGTACTAGTGTGACAAAGGTGATGATATTCAATTTTATGTATTCCCTTTTAATTATGTCAATTAGAGTAAATATTTAAGGGTGAAGTAGTAACAGAATAATAGTTGTTGGATTATGTTTAACATAGTCCTTCCTAAACTCTCAAAACATATAAACAAATATTTAACTTGAGTCTTTCAAACTCTATTGCAAGAATTATTAATTTAAAATGCCTTAATATTTAAAGTCCCACATCAGGATTGCTGCTTTTCCTGGCATTCCTGATGAAAGAATTTAAGCTTTTACTGAATATTAGAACTTAGTAGATTAGTGATAATTTAATGCCTGATGCAGGAAGAGACTGACTTTCTTTTCATAATTATAAAGATGGTGTCCTTGCAGGAACTAAAATGTTTTCATTAAGTTCTCTAATAAAAGTTAAGTGTGCAATGACTCAGGCTCTCCTAGATACTTATTAACCTTCATCTTTGGCTGCTTCTGAGGCTCTACTCCTTTTTAGGTTATGTGCCCCTTGTGGTAAATGTATTTCACCAAACATGCTGCTGTAAGTGCTTACTAACTGAGCCACAAAGGTACAAAATATCCTGGAATTGTTAGAGATCATCTGTGAAAATAGAGCTGATAATGGTAGGGATCTTCTGTGAAAATACAGCTGATGAAAACAACTACACAGGCTTGGAGAAGTGCTGAGGTGGCCACTCAGTGGGAAAGAGCACTGGTCTGGTCACCAGACTACAGAAAGTGCTTTGAGGGTTTCATACAAATGGCAAACAACAATTACAGAAATTATTGATGTCAGTGGCTCCTTCAAGTCTGAAAGAAATACACTAATAAAGCTCCAGTTCAGGAAAGTGCTTAAGGACAATAAGAGTAAGAGCTATTGAAGTCAGTAAGACTTAAGCAAGTGCATAAGTTTTTGGCACAGTGGAAATAAACAGCTGAACTAGGATCTTGGGGCATTCCAGTTTCATTTAATTCATCTTCATGCCTTATCTTTAAGTGTTCTAAGAAAAGATCTTTTTGTGATGTATTGTTTTCAGATGGTGTGCTTACGAGAGAGGGAGCAACGAATACTTGGCCTTCATTTCATTGGACCAAATGCAGGCGAAGTTATTCAAGGATTTGCTCTTGGAATCAAGTAAGTACAAAAGAATGTCTCTAGCTTCTAAAGCCTGCTTCTTAAGTTATTGTAAGATTATAAAAGATAGCTGCCTAGTTTTGGCAACACTATAAAGAATGCATGCCTTTTGTTACTTTTATGGAGTATTGCACATATTTTCACAAAAAATACTGCAGTTCTTCATTAAGATGTACTGGATTTAGTTACGGTACTACTGGATATAGTTAGGGAAGAACTGAGGAAAAATATCATTGATTTGATATAGTTAAAGCAAAAAACAGAATTAAGCATTAACTTAACTAATGTTAGTTTCTTCAGTGTAGCTTCTTCTGCATTATGTGCACAGGATAGGAAATCACCATTCAGTTTTGCAAGTTGCTTTTTTAAAAATATGTTTGTGCTTTTCAGAAAAACCTTTCTTTACACCTGCTAAGCATTTCCTTTCCTAATCTCATCTTTAAATTTGCACAGCCATGGCTTCTTAAAAGTTCAGCAAGGTTTGCATGAATGCTTCTATTGCTGGGGTATAAGCTAAATATAATATAGTAAAAAAGAAACTTCTATAGGATGATGGGAGAGGGAAGATAGTTTATTTGAAGCGATCTGGTAATTGCAATAAAAAACATCCTTTGTGATCTGATCTTAAGATTTTGCTCAAATATTAATATAAAAGTCCTCTATTTGAAGGAGTAAGCAGTGATTCTCAGTCTGCTCTGGTTAAATGGAAAAGTCTTGCTATGCTTTTTGTGTGCTACAATTATTTTATTTGTTTTTTCCTTTTCCCTTCTTATTGCTGATTCACATCTTCAGAAATGTTGTTTCCTATACTTACATTACAAAATAATAATTTTTAACTCCCTCTTCAAAGAAAGCAGTCTGGAACATCATAAATCATTGCCAGTTGTGGTGTCAATTCATTTTCCTAAATTTGATCACCATTTTACTGCAGTTTTAGTCCTGCAGTTGTGAGTGACTATTATAAATGAAAAGCAGAAAGGATTAAGAAGGCAGGACCACAAGTATCATGTGAGGAATATCTTGGAAATCACTGATTGCAGTGTACCCTCAGTACACATTTTCAACATGTGTTTGTAGTCCATTAATTGCCAGTGGTGTAGATTGTAGAACTACATTTTTTAGGTTGTCATTGTTTTGAAGTTTTATCCAAAATAACCATTGAAAAGGAAGTACATGAAACTGGAGTGCTTTTCTGCCTTGCTTGAGGGAGAAGAAAACTTCAGCCACAGTAAGAGGTTCTCAGCAGGTCAGATTCCTGTATTGCTTTCTATTGCATTTCACAAATCCAGAGCTTTCAATGTGGGACCCCCACTGTAAAAGCTGCTCTCCTCCTTTGTCAAATACTTCTTCATCCTTCAGCTTCTCTGAAGGATGATTTTTCATCTTCCCTCCCCACCCAGCACTCCAGTAACATCTATAGTCAGCAAAGATCTTTTGCTTGTCAGTGCTTTATTAGATGTAAGTGGAGACACCAGAAGGCATCTATAGCTTCCTTTTCTGTATTTTGTAGAGGGAGATAACATTATTGCATAGAGAGCTCGAAACAATCCTTGAATTTAGGGCCATTTCAGCTGTTCTTACAGCATGGCCTGCCAGGAATAGCAGTTCAAAAGAAAGCCATCAAGTCTTAAGAATGTTACAAGTAAGGGAATTAAGCAAGTGGGATTGTAGCACAAGGGAGTTTTGGTGGGTTTTGTTTGCTTGTTATGTGTTTTTTTTAAATAAAAGGCTTTTTTTCCCTCACTTATAACATTGATATATTCAGTGGGAGCACCAGAGACTTTAAGTTCATGGAAGAATATTCTGGTATTATTTCCTTTAGCAGATTCTTTCCAACAGTTCTAATTAAGATTTTTTTCCTCTGTGAGTATGTGTGCATTTTTTTCCATCTGGAGTTAGTGAAACACACATGTATGTACAAGAAAAGCTGAAGGTTGCAGTTTTGTCATATGTTTTTGCCACAGGCTCAGTTGTGACTTAGGGTAAATTGCTTAATTCTCTCTGTCTCAACTCTTATGACAATTCTTTCCTACCTCAGAGTTGGGAAGCTGGGCGTCTACGTGTTGTGTAAGTGCCTGAGAAATAATAGACAGTATTGTTTGAAGAACAAATGCAACTCCTCTACGTGATCAAATGGACAAGAGCAGAATTATTTTGATGTTTTAGGACCTTTTAGCTGCTTCAGGTGAATAGCATTTGACTTTGTGGGTCATTTGTTGTTGTTGTTGATTTTTGGTAGGTGTGGTGCTACGTATCCTCAGATGATGAAGACAGTTGGCATTCACCCCACCTGTGCTGAAGAAGTTACCAAGTTGCACATTACAAAGCGTTCTGGCCTGGATGCAACAGTCACAGGATGCTGAGGTTAAATACCATCCCTGGAAAGAAGGAAAAAAAGCACAAAACATATTTGTAAAGAAAAGGGGCACTTAAAGGTGAAACAGCTTTAATGGTTCAGATTACAGGAATCTTTCTTTTTCTCCTTGTAGAGAGGTTTTTCTTACAGCCAAAAAAATTTCCTTGCACCATCACAATTCTAAAACCAATGTAGTCCTGCTGCAACAAATCTCTCTTTCTAAGGGCCTAAAGCTCTTCTGTTGCTGGGAGGTAGGGAATAATCACAGTATTTTATATGTAAATATAACTAAAGCTCGTGACATCTGAGGCCATCTACAAACGAAGCAGTTGTCATTTGGGTTTCCCTCTTGGCCAGCAGAAGAGTCTCTCATGCTGGGAATCAGACAGGACATAAGTTTGGTGGGATGCTTTGTCCTGCCTGCTTGGATTGCTCATTACTGATCCTATATTGAACACTGAGACTCTGCATTTACTCCTGGAAACAAGTTCCTGGGGTGCATAATAAAGGGTAGGCAGTCATCTTTGCGTTTTTTCCTTTACAATGTAATATGTAATACGTAATGGAATTTAATAGAAAATCACCTGAAGCTGTTCTGCTGCTGGAAGAATTACAATGGATTCATCAGTAGCAGCCTGGTCACGGTGTTATGGAGAGGACTGAGAATGAATGATCTCAGAGGTGCTAAAGAAAGAGTTGAATTTTATGGTGGCGTCTCTGCCTACTCCTGAAATTTTTAGTTCAGCTCAGTCCAAACTAAATTGACACATCTCACAAATTACTGTTTGAACAGTGTATATTAAGCTGACAAGTAGAGTAAAACCCTCTAATAATCCACCTTATGCAGCATTTTCTGTTTTATAGAATGCAGAAATATGGCTGACGCTGAAATACTTTCTTGGTTTGTTTTTAAGACTTTCTTACTGATGAGCTGGAGACTATATCTGAACTGACTTATGTCTGGCTTTAATAAAACACATAACTGAAGGGAACTACATTAAGCAGTGATCCAGAAGAGAAATGGTCCTGCCCTGAGCAAAGATATAAAATAATCATCTGCAACTTTTTGTTTTGTTTTGTGGGTTTTTTGGGGTTTTTTTTGGTTGGTTTTTTTTTTTTTTTTTTTTTTTTTTGCTTTTTTTTTTTTGTTTCTGTGTACTGGCCCGAGTAAGAAAGCATTACCCTGTTGCAAATTCCTGCTTGCTTTTGTGCTCTCCAGAAGGGGGAGGTGCTGGCTCATCTGTGGCAAGAGATGAATAAATCTGAGAGTGAAGCAGAACTTCTTGTGCAGAACCCTGTTAAGGAGAAAGCCTGAAAAAGGCACACACAAACCAATCTGCACTGAATTTCAATCCCAGTCACAGTTTCTTACACCCTTTACAGCAGAATAGTGTTCATTGGAAGACACCAGCTTCAGGTGAAACAAAATATATCCTTTTTGCAGTCAATTGATAGCAGTGCTTTATGTGTGGAATTTGTTGTTTTCATTCCAAACTTGTTGCAGTGTTGAAGAATAGTCTGATGATCATGTATATATCTGCTGTTTTAATGTGATTGGTATTTCACTGCTGCAGCAACACAGACAAATGCTTGGTTTATATCGAGTGTGAAACAATTTTTACCATAAGAATTGTACCTGTCTGAGAAACTATTAGACAAAAGGGATCAAAACTTACTTGTAAAATAGGATTTAACAGCATTTATCACACTCTCATTGATATGAGAATATTACATTTTCAATTTTTTTTTTTAACTTAAACAACAACAAAAGAAGTCTTAAATGTTTTCTCTACAAATTTTCCTGATTTTTTTTTTTTTTTGGTCCATGTTTCTGGTTCATAAAATAGAAAGAAGTGATACAGTTGGACTCCAAGTGGCATTCCCTATCAGACCTGTTGATGCCATTTTTCATCTGTGAAGTCATCCATAAGTTTTTAGTTGACAAGAAATATTAGGATTGGAAGTGTTGTTGAAACGGTGCATGAATTTTGCAGCTGCCTTTAGAAGAAATGATGACAACTTTATATTAATAGGTGCATACCTGCACATTCAGAAGTTTGTTTCCTTTAATAAAGGGCCTTATGAATATGATGCAGCCAAAACCCTTGCTAGATTTTCCTCAGCTGTTTACAAAAAAGGAGTTCAGAGTAAATTAGGGTTTCTTAAAATGTTTTACTTAATATTCCAAAATATACAGCCTAATAGAGATTTTGCTGTGAGAAACAGCTCACCTCTGACAAAACTCCAATGTTTATCCATACAAGTTTTTCTTTCCAGTGATTATCTGTTTTAGTTCCTTTTGTTTCCCAAAAATGAAAGCACTGGTGTTTAACCAGTAAAATCTGCTTCTCTTCTCTGTCGTACCAATGCATCCAGCAGAGTTCTGTCCCTACAGACAAATCAATGGAAAGATTAGTTAATTTCATTCATCATAAAGTTCAAATTAATTATTTGGCACAGCAAATAGAGAGATCTCAAGGAAATGTGTCCTCGGTGCATATAGAGTGTGAAACTAAGGCATGTCATGGTTTTCAGAAGAAACAGAACTGTGTTGGTTTTAGAATTGCTGAGTGGCCTGCATGAAATTGTTCCTGTCTCTTCAACAGCAGCCGGGTTCTGTTCCTCATTTAGTGGAAAATGCTTTTGCCCCCTGAAGTAAAACCAAACATACAATCCCACCTACATAATAATGTCAGAATCAACAGCAAGACAGAATAATGACAAATATTGTGATTGTGCTTTTTTTCCTGAAGGATTCACCAGGGATGGTGCTTAAAAATTGTTTTTAAAAGCCTGACCAATGTAAATTGAAACAATTGATGTACATCGCAACTTATGATTGCATGTGAAAATGTACAAAAAAAAACTAGTCAGGCTTCTTAGGATGCCAGCTGATGAGGATTTGTTTGTCAAATCACACCGTGGTGCAAACAAGTCTGAGCCTTTCTGGGTCCCTCATCTGTGTGATCCCAATATTTATTGTGTTATGAATTAATAAATAATATTTTTTCTAGTAAATGTGTGATTGCACTTGCTTAACTTTGTACACATGATTTCTGCTTACACTAGATAGATTTTTTGATCTTAATGCTGTCTCTCTTGGTTGAAGTATGCATTAAGGAAATGAAGAAATAGACTCAGACCATTTATTAAGGGAATGTTGATACTTCTGTATCTGTGTGTAAACTGAATAACCATTGAGATTTTTCCAGATTGGATGACCTCATATTTTAAATTTAAGAGAAACTGTAGATTCGGTAAGTATGGTTTCAAATACTGTCTTTTTACTCCTGCTGATGAGGTCTAACAGGTATTTTCATTGTCCCTGCATGCTGACATGCTTCTTGAAGTCTTGTCAAGAGTAAACTCCCCAAGTGCAGTCAGAGCATTTTACAGGGCTACAGTATTCTACTTGAGCTGTTCACTTTGGGGTTTAAACTAGAACACAGAGTGGACAAAATGCAGTGCTACAAAGCCCATTAGTAGCTGTGGATACTGCTAAGTATAAAAATACTAGAAAATTAATAGAGAAAAGACTAGCAAAATGTATTTAGTGCTCTGAGAAACTTCTCTGTCAGAAAAGTAAAGGAGCACATTGTTCAATTCATCTCAATTTTCTTTTATGTCTTTAAGTCCACTGATTTTGTTGAAGTTCCCATTAAGTCAGTTGAGCTTCTGAAACAGAGTACTTTAGTATTGCCTCAGTATATGCCCTGGATTTAATGCTGAGAACAAATACTGACTTTACTCTATGTAAAGGTATTTCTATTTCTGCATTTTTAATCTATTTTAATTTCCTAAAATATTTCACTGCAGGTTTTAACTAATTAGGATAACTAGTAACAGTCCTAAAAAATGTAATAAGGGAAGCATAAATCTTGATTATTTTTTGCTTATCTTCATATACCCCTTAATCCCAAAGCAAAAAGAATAACACAGGAGCATACAGACAAAATAAATTTGGAATAGAATTTAGTGCATTATTTATATTATACCTAATGATAGCTCATTCTCAAGGTGTTGTGCACAATTAAGTTTTGCCTTTTCCCATTTCTACGTGGACTGTATTTTGTTACATCTACTGAAAAGTGTTTCTACAGTTCAGATTATTCCAGACCAGGAGCTGGAAAAGATACTTCAGTACAACAGCTAAACATTTTTTTGCTGGCACATTTATTCTGATTAAAAAATAAAAAAAAAGCCGTGGATGCCATAGTGTTTCTAACCAAAGCAGTTGAGTATTTTAAAGACTTTTGAGTTTGAAGCCTTCTCTTCAGAGGCTCGTGTCTGTCCAACAAGTAGGCAATTCTGTGCCCATATAAATTGCCATTTGTCTAAATGTCAGTGACATCAGTGTACTCAAAGCTAAGGCTGACCATGAATTTCAGTGGGATGCAAGTATTTGTCTTGTGCTTTGTTAAAGAGGAATCAATATAAGCATATGCCAAAATGTCTTTCATTATTACAGTTGGGGAAAAGGCTGCAATTATGATTCAAAACATAAAAGGTACAATAGACATCTATGATTAGGCAATGAAATATGCCTTTAATATGCATAGTGCAGACAGTTTGTTTTGCAATACGTAAACTTGTATAAAATTCATTGACTTTTTCATTCTTTCAGATCTGTGTGCTCTCTTTTTAGAGAGGTTTTTACTTTAATGCATTAAGTTTTCCTGATGTTCTTCCAGCAGAAAGGCTGGGTTTGTATGCATTTATTCTAGTGCCAAACTTGGATTTTACTGGGAAAAGAGGAAACAGCAGAGCAGACCTTTTTTCTTTCTTTTTTTTTTTTTTCCTTTTTCCCAGGGCAGCATGCAACAGATATGCAGTAATTACTCTAACTGATTTTTTTTAAAAATGGAATATTTCTGTCCACTACATGTCAAAAAGCTAATTATGTTTCCGTTGTGGTACTCAAAGTCAATATTGTCAGCTCTTCTTAGTTCTAATCCTCTACATAGAATTTTGATGGGCCAGGTGAAATATCCCCTTCAGCACCTTACTGCAATTCTTGTCAATCATCTTGCCATGAAAAACATGCATATTACAAAGGCTTTGGCAACACTGCATCTGATTTCAGTCTTTAATCTTATATGCACCTTAAGAAAACATCATTCCAACTACTGACATTCTGTTTGGGACATGAATGGGATCCTATTTGCTGTGGGAAACAAAAGAAAATTATCTAATCCTTAATGGATATAATGGAACTCTTTGGCCATCACAGTGTAAAGCCTTAGTAAACTACAGATCTAGGAAGAAAACAATTATGATGAAGAAATTAAGCAGAATATCTCGGGTGAATAAGTAAGAAAATGCACATTTATTTATTCATAATGCAATTGTAAACAATCTTGCTTCAGGCACTGTTGGACTGAGGAGAGTGTCTTTTTTTGGAACCCCTAGACTTTCTGTGCAAGGAATGCTGCTCACTGTAGTCCATTTCTTAGCATGGTACTGTGTGTGCCACTTTTTTTGTTGATTCTTATAGACAAGATCTAGCACATCTAAAATCTTCTGGTCCTACAATGGAAAATTAACATCATTCCCTAAGAAGCTGGAATATAAACTAATAAGGCAGGTTTCCAGAATCTGATTGCATCAGTCATAAAGATATAGTATGAAGAGAAAAGTGGATATTCCCTGGGGGAGAGTGTGAAATGAAGACCAGTCTTGTTTGAACAAGGTGCTGTGCATTGTTAGCTGGGTAGAGATATTGGGAGTTGCAGCCTGTCAGAACCAGCATCTCCAAGGAGGGGGTGGGTGAAAATTTTTCCAGGTAGAAGTTTCAGCAGTTTGTAATAGAGTATGTCCAATCTATTAATATCTTTACTTAAGAAAAGCCTTTATACTCCATGAAAGATGAACTGTACCCCAACTGCACCTCCTGCCCAGCTTTCTTCCAGATCATACAAACACCAGAAAGACTGTTGGGGTTATGCTGTCCTCCTTTCATTTACTTTAAAGCAATGTGGGAATCTGGCTTCTTATTCCTTGTTTCAGCATAAAGCCAAAGACCAAGATCCCTCTACTTAAATCTTTCACAAGGAGACTCTTTTTCCCAAGGCTCTGCAAGGAATTACCTAGGTGGTAACATAACTCAAACAAATCTAAGCTATAGACACCTTTTCAGTCCTTGTCTATTAAAATGTTATGTAACTCCATTATAATAAAATATCAAGGCAAAGAAAAACAGTGAAAAATACAGGCTTTAGGCTTTAAACAAAAATTGAAAAAATAAATAAATGTTCCCTTCTTTGTTGGCTCCCTGTGAGGAAAGGCCCAAATGCATTTTTTTCCATGGTGTACTCCCAACAAAGCAAATAAAATTGAAAGCTTGTTTTACTGTTATCTTTTTCTAATGTGTGAATTAACTGTAATGCAGCCAACCAGTATTCTGTTCACACTGTGTCAGAGCAACAGGTTAGAAAGCAGCTTTTAGCTTTATGCAGGAGGTTGAGCTCAGCAATCTTGTTTTAAACACCTTTGTTCAATGGGGACAAAGGATTGAGCTTTGGCGTTTTTATTTAATCTTGATAATCTTCCTTTTTTTCTCTCTCTTAAAGGATCAAGAGGAAATGCATTAACTTTGAGCTTCACGCAAAGGCAAGTTGTACAAACACAGCTGAAAACATCAGGAAATGCAAGCATTTTCCTTCGAGAAATGGAGTTAAGTCATGTTCTGCTGGCAGTAGACTCCTGGATAATTGGGAAGATGTTGTTAGGCACAGCAGTTTGGGCAGCAGGGTGTGCACACTGATAGCACTGTTCACTTTGGCTGTCCTAGTGAATGACTCCTGTAATGTAGAAAGCAGAAATTATTAACCATATGACAGGAAGTAATTTAAAGAACACAGGCTGCTTTGGAGACTTAAGAGATGGCTCTTAGATTGTCAAAGGATATTTTTAAAATTCATTTAATTTACACCAGACCAAGATCTAATTAAATCATGGCAGCAACTTTTGATTTTTATCTCTTTACTTTTCATTAAATTTATTTCTTAGACATATTTCAAACATAGGAGAATAGAGTTCTCTTGACACTTCAGACTTTGCTTGCATTTCTGTCCTTGTTCATTCTACGTACATTCAGAGTTTCTAAGAGTTTCAGTTCAGGAGTTTGGTTCTCTTTCTTAATTAAGGATTTAAGTGTTATCCTTGAATTTTTCTTGTTCCACCTTTTTGCAAGAGGCTCATTCTATTTTACTTAGCTACTTGTAGCCCTATTTAAATGTTAATAAGTGAAGTCCCTTTTGATGGGGTAAGAATCCAATGTATTCATAAGAGAAAATTTGGGATTTTCTGCTTGCATCTTCCTTTAACTCCCTTGTACTTCCCAAATCTGGAAAGGCCACAGTACAAAAGAAGGCAGTTCTGAAGAAGTCCTGTCCATAGCTGTGGTATTGACCCCCTTGAAGAATGAGACCAACCATTTGTGAGTGTTTACAGCTGGACCTTCTGCAGGGCATCATCCTTCCTTAATGACAAAATGCATCAGATTCACAAGCTGTGACAGCAGTGCCTCAGGGTTCCCATGACAGTGGCAAAGTGGAACATCTGATGAAATTTGCTTGTGAAATGCAAGGCTGCCTTTTTTGTCACTGAGGTTGCTGAGAGAGAACTCCGAGGCGTTGCAGTTTTTGTATTGAGTAGCAAATTCTCAAAATGCAAAAAGCTACCCTGGAGTGATGAGATTGCTCATGTGTGGGCTTAAACATCCTTGTGAGGCCACCTCATTGTCTTATGTCTAATTCTGGAAGTCCTAATATTTCCCAAGTTCACAAGTTGGGTGAACATTTGCTTTAAGCCATTGTGTTGATCCCTAGGAACAGCAGAGGGGGGTGCCCCCTTGGATCTACATTATTGATTGAAGCACTCTCCCTCACTGTACTTCAGTGAAGTGTAGCCAAGAACAACAAGATAAGAATTAATGTAAGTGACAAGGGAGTTCCTCAGACCCTGCCAGTGCACATTATCCTGGCTGAAGAGAAAAAGAAGCTGATACTTGAGTCTTT